TTTGGAAATAATTATGCATAAAATGGACTCTGGACAAGGTGCGTTCCTATAAGTCTTCCTACCAATATGAGTTTTAGTTTGTTATTCTATGACTTACTTGCTTGTTGTATTCTAATTTGATGACATGTATTTGCATGCATCTTAATAAAAGAGGACAATTTTATACTCTTAGTTTTCTTTGCTTTTGATCTTATCAGCTCATCACATTTCATGCTGGACGTTTTTTAAATGCTTTTATTCAGATCGATTATTTGCTAAAACATATTTTACATTACATGAATATACTATCTATATTTGTTTTTCATCCTTATGATTTTAATATTATTACAGGTTAAACTCAGAAGAGAGCATTCAAATGCTCACTGCTCTTGCCTTGCTTCTTGTGCAGTCTGTGATTGAACTTCCCGATGGAAAAATACTTGGCAGCAATGTAGGTGGTTCTGGCGGCAGCAGATCCTCTAATGGACAGGTAGGCGACTGGATTCGGGGGGCTCCTGCTCTCGGAATGTCAAGTTTGGATTCGACTGTTGGAACTGGAGGTCCGAACAACAGAAGTCGAATCGACGACGAAGTAGTGATAATCACCTCTTATCAAAACGCCATGAGAACGGCACACACATTCCTACTCGTTTTTCTCAGAAAGTATGTTTTTTTCTTTGATATTTAGTTCTTGATAGTCGAGCAATCTTTTTCGTTACATCTTTTGTCTTGTACTTCATGTATTTATGTGGGCTTAGTCTATAATGAATTATAAACATTTAATTTTTTGTATGTATGTAGAGATTTGAGGCTACCAGTAAATATGTAATATGAGATGTATTCACCCTATTTCGTTTAAGATGATGAAGGACTGGTAGTAGAATTTTCCCACAATGCTATGAGTTGAGCTGACGTTTCTATTGCATTCCACATAGCCTTGCTTTCCCAAAAGTTGTTGTCATCTAGAAAGGACTGCAGTTTAGACCTCGCATAGACCTTATCTGCACCCCCAGTGGGAGTTAAACCTTGATAGTGCAGAATGTGAGCTTGACACGTTAACCACTTTGCCACATTGACACGAGTGCCCTTGCGTCACAGGGCAGATGTGAATTTCAAGGAAGACCAGGCTTTTTCGCATATAGCATTCTTTGGTGGGATTGTTGATGAAGCAAACGAAATAGGGTGAATACATTTCATCTTATAAACATTCAAGTTGGAACAATAACTGATTGTACGAGGTCAAACAAATTTTCAACACCATTTCAAACTCAAATTTGTATATAATATATAAAACCCAAAATGGTATGCTCTTTAGTATTGCTGTGGAGTTGTTTTCGACACTTGGTCGTATTGTCAGGGTGATTTAGAGGAATGCATTTGTCTGGAGTCCTTATAATCCATTATAATTTGCAGAATCAGATCATGAAATCGATAAATTGCTAGACTTTTTGTCGACCTCGTTAATGAACATTGCCAGTCTTTGCATCGCATTACAACTCGTTAATGAGACAATTGAAAGTGATTCTTAGACCAATTGTCTGCCAGACAATTGTGGTATCTCCTCTCCCAGTACATTCACCTATCCTGTATTCTCATATTGCCTCTTCATTTGTTTAAAAAAATCTATTTCAATACTTTACATAATACAGCAAAATATGCTAAACCATGATAGGTGGCAAGCTGCAACCATACTCGCTTTTTTATACGGCTTCACGACTTGTATGAGGTGTAACATGATTTGTTTAGCTTCTTCAAACCTATTCTACATGCTTGCAGATGAGTTAAGTTAATTCACGAACCGCTAGTTTATTTGGTGGTTGCTGCTTTCTTACACAAATCAAATAGTGTACGACCCTAATGTTGATTATTGTTTGGGCTTGTGCTATTGTCTATTATGTGTATGTAATGCTCATGTCCTGTGAATTGTGCTTGTCTTAGCTAGGCTCGAGGTTACTTCAGATTACTCTTGTTCAAGTGACTTCTTTTTATCCCTCTCTCCTACACAAACAATTCCTACTCAAATTCCGACAATCGTTCCTCCAATTCAGGATATTGGCTATTTTGGTAATTTCTATTGACTCATTAATCCTATGCTTTGATGGCAAATCCCCATAACCAACAAAACATTGTATTTTGGGCCAGTCTATTTAGTGTCCTCTTTTACCCATGTTTTTCCTTGAAATAGATGGCCATGTCACAATATATCACTAATGAATTCTTCGAAACCCAATTTTTCTTTATATCTTTAAAGGGTCAAATTTATTTGTATTTTGGCTAGTTGTTCTAGGAGTGGCCATGCTCACTGATGTGATAACTCTAAAATTCGAAGCTATTTAGACCTTTTACTTAGCGCTTCTTCCTGCTCACTTCATTTTTTATTTTCCTGAGCCTTCCAATAACTATAAATAGCTATCGCTGACTTTTATAGCTTCACTCCTTGTATTGAATATGTTTTATATATTTATATAAACTTTTTCATCTTTAGTTTGAATATTAAGTGTTATTATACTTATGTAGCGAAACTAGGTATCGAAGAATATTCCATAACATAGTTGGCCTCACCGGAGGCTGTAGGATTGTCTTGTGGCTGTGAGCATAGATATGTACGAATAGATCATTCGCGCTCCGTCTTGCGACCCTGATGAATCCCTGCTGAACTTTCGTCCGTTATGTGACGGATATCATCAAAACACGAAAACAAGATGACCTTTCTCTTCCTCGTGTTTTGGTGAATTATCGTTAAATATGGTGTCCTTCTCAGATGATTTCTGTCAGCAAATATACATCAGGGTCGCAGCGCGGTGCGCCGAGGATCTATTCACACATCTACACTCACAGCTCTAAGGCAATCATCCGACAGCTTCTGGTGAGGCCAACTTACGAATCCCTTCCACTCGTCTCTTCAAACCAATTGAAAGGTACTCTAACATCTTAATCTTGATCTGATATTCTTCTTTCTTTAGTAACTTATAAACATTTTTGCGATCCGAAGGGACAGCAAAACTAGGAACCTGATATTGGTCTATTTACTTATTTTGTCATAAATATAGGATTATTGAAAAGTGATTATCTATCATTTTTACTAGATAATTCTTTTCAATTTATATATCCCTTCATTTGCCTTCTTCCTTGCCCTAATGATTTACATCCACTAGGCACAGACTATTTCTTATCTCCTATTTGATACTATATCAAGAGTTACGCACCGTCTGTCATTTGACTGATAAATTTAATAATGAAAAGTACACATTTGACTTATGAGCAAAAACTAGCTTAGAATACAAGGTATTGTTTAACTCAAAATTTAGCAAATTATTAAATTATCCGTTTGGATTTTCATTGATTCAAGAGGCATTCCTAATTTTAAAGTTAATAGTTATGTATATGGACGTATTATTTGCTGTTTTGCAACATCAAAGATAATTTCTAGCATTTGATTATTGGCGTGGTGCATCCCCAGGTGTTTTTCTGGCATCGTCAGTGAAGGGCTAAACAAATTTACAATTTATCAAAGTGACTATAGCAAAGATAGATAGGTTGAATTATTTAAGCCATTAAAAAGATTAAATTGAATTAATCACTTTATTATTGAGTTTGAAAAGGAGGATAAGCCATAGTTTTTGGATATCTTGGTGAGCAAAGGTAATCATTTGG